CCTATGGCCATCCTGCCCAGCGGGCACAGAATGGGCATCTGGCTGTCCCTGATCCACACCTGCCCCCATCCCTGCAGGATCGACCTGGAGGAGTGGGAGCACGTAACGTGCATGAAGACTGTGTCGCTCAAGAGCGAGGAGACAGTGTCAGGCCTGAAGGGCTACATCGCTGTCGGCACCTGCCTTATGCAGGGGGAGGAGGTCACCTGTCGGGGCCGGGTGAGTGCGGGGCCGCCGGAGCCTTGGCGATGGGGAAGAAGGGGATTGTGAGCAAAACTGAAAGCATTACGATGCCCCTTTGTAAGCCCCCAGGACATCCACACTGTGAATATGGTGCCTAGCTCTGGTCCCTGCACCTCCAGAAGAAGATAAAAGAACTAGAGGAGGTGCAGAGAAGGGCAGCAAGGGTGACGAGGGGCTTCCTTAGGAGGAGACTAATGATCCAGGCATGGTCAAGTTAGAAATGAGACACTTGAGGGGCAGGAGAAGGGTTTACAACACCCTGAATGGGGAAGAGAAAGTCCCTCGGGATTTATTACTGACTGTCTCACCAGACAGGAACGAGGGTCACACGTGGACCAAGCAGGCAGCAGTTTAACGCTAACCAGGAAGCTCTTTTCCCCCAAGCATGGCATTAAAGTGGGGGGACTCGTGGCCTGCAGAAGTGGGGGAGCTGAGAGCTCAGCCAGATTGACCAGGGCTTGGACATACGCTTGGAGGAAAGGGGCATTGGGAGCTATTGAGCAGAGTGCGGGCACGGCCTTCGCATCAGACCTGCCTGGACCTCAGTGCTGGAGGCTGCGGGGAGAGAGGAACAGGGGAAAACCCTGCTCGGCCCTAGTCACTCTCCCTTCAGCTCTGCTCTCTGCCCCATGTGACCGAGATGGGGCAGGACAGACCTGGGTCTGCCCCAGTCCATGGCAGCTCTGATATCCCAACCACGTCCCTTCCCTGCTCTCTAGCCCTCTGCCCAGTGCCTGCATCCTCCTTCCCAGTGACCCTGGTCTGCCCCGGTGCCGGTGTGGGAACCTGCTGTCACATGGTCCCTGCTCCACAGAGCTGACACCTCTAAGGGCTCCCTCTCTCCATCTTGTGGGGCAGAGAGGAGACAAGCTATCTAGTCTCCCAGCTGAAGCTTGCATTGCAGGGTCACATGTCCCCAGCATGGGGCCAGGCCCAGCTGGGCAGACCCTTTGGGTTGGGATGAGAGGCCTGGGCAGTGGACACCCCTCACATGGCTCCCTGCCCCCACAGATCCTGATCATGGACATCATCGAGGTGGTGCCGGAACCAGGGCAGCCGCTGACCAAGAACAAGTTCAAGGTGCTGTACGAGAAGGAGCAGAAGGGCCCCGTGACGGCCCTGTGCCACTGCAATGGTTACCTCGTGTCGGCCATTGGCCAGAAGGTGAGGGCGCGGCCCGGCGGGGACCAGATGCCCCTTTTGAGGGCACCGTTGGGACCATGGCCAGGAGCCCTGTGCAGGGGGACTTGCAGGGGGCAAGGAACGAGGCTCGCCAGTCTCACCCACTGCCCGCAGCCTAGGAACCATGGGCTTGGGTCCTCGCCCGGAAAGATGAGGGTGGTCTCTGCAGAGCAGGAGCTTTGGGCCCTGGTTCAGGCCCCAGGGCAGGGGAGTGGGCTGCTCAGGGTGGGATCAAGGGCTGCCCACTCTAGTGCTCCCCTGCAGGCCCCAAGCCTGGGGGTCTGGCTGCCCCCATCCCCCCAGGTGCTTGGCCAGGAGCCGTGTGTGGCCTCCCGGAGCTGAGCCGCTGCCCTGCTGCAGATCTTCCTGTGGAGCCTGAAGGACAACGACCTGACGGGCATGGCCTTCATCGACACCCAGCTCTACATCCACCAGATGATCAGCGTCAAGAACTTCATCCTGGCCGCCGACGTCATGAAGAGCATCTCGCTGCTGCGCTACCAGGAGGAGAGCAAGACCCTCTCACTTGTCAGCCGGGTGCGACAGGGCACGGGGTGCTGGGGGGGCATGTCCGACCCAGGACCGGCGGCAGGGCTTGGCTTGGGTCCCTCGTTATCCCCCTGCTGCCCCATGGGGCTGGGGGTTTTGTGCTTGGTGTCCCAGTGCCCCTGTGACACCCCTGTCTCCCCCAGGATGCAAAGCCGCTGGAGGTGTACAGCGTGGACTTCATGGTGGACAGCGCCCAGCTGGGCTTCCTGGGTATGTTGTGAGGCCAGGCCCGAAGCACCCTGGCTACTGTGTAGGGTCTGGAGGGACCTGGGGAGTGGAGAAAGGGGAGCCCTTCTCGGGGGCTCCTGGGTGGACTGGGCCAGCCTGTGACCACCCCGTCAGGGGCCTCTGGGGGAGCTGCCCCTCCCCAGGGCTGCTGCTGACCTTGGCTTTGCCCTTGCAGTGTCTGACCGGGATCGCAACCTGCTGGTGTACATGTACCTCCCCGAAGGTAAGACGACGACGACACCGCCCCCCCCCCCCCCCCCCCCCCCCCCCCAGTACTCCCACCCTGCAGCTGGCCTGGGGCTGGGGCTCCCAGGCTGGGCCTGAGCCCTGCCCTTGACTCGCTGAGTAGCCTTGGGAGTGCTCTATCCCTGGAGGCCTCCAGTCTTGCTGGATTTTAACCATTTGGGAGCCAGAAATGCATGTGCACAGGACAGCCAGTGCTGGCCATGACCACAGCATCCCTCCTCGCCGGCACCACGCCAGTGCTGCCCTGCCAGCCCGGGGCTAAGTTTGTGCTGTCAACAGCGGCACAGAGCCGGCAGGACCAACAACAGCCGCCGCGGCACGAGGGGCCTTGAACCCAGCCCGGGCTCGCTGCACGCTGGCGACGCGCCCAGGGAAGGCTCCGTGGCCTGGCTCGCAGCCCTGCTGGCAGCTGCTGCTGGAGCGCCGGGTGGGGGGAGCATCCAAAGCTGGGCCCCCGGCTCTGTCTGAGCCCCCGGCACCCTGTCTCTCTTGCTCTGGCAGCCAAGGAGAGCTTTGGGGGGATGCGGCTGCTGCGCCGGGCCGACTTCCACGTGGGCGCCCACGTTAACACCTTCTGGCGCACACCATGCCGCGGCACCTCTGAGGGGCCCACCAAGAAGTCCATCGTCTGGGAGAACAAGCACATCACCTGGTTTGGTAAGCCGGGGCCCAGTGGGCGGGGGCAGAGACAGCTGTGCCTGCAGCCCCCTCCCAGCATGGGGTGGGAGGGACCAGCCTAGCGGGGGGTCAAGAGGACAGTCCCGCTGGAGCAGCCGCCCCCGTCCTGTTTGGCAAGGCCGGAAGAGTGGCCTTGAGACCACTGTGCTCAGGGTCGGCCCACCCAGCAAGGCAGGGGAGGCTCCAGCCCTTGCACCTGGCACCAAGGTCTCCCTGTGCCGTGATGGAGCTGGGGGGCCCCTTCTCCAACCCCCCGTCTCTTCCCCCCCTGCAGCCACGCTGGACGGCGGCATCGGGCTACTGTTGCCCATGCAGGAGAAGACGTACCGGCGCCTGCTGATGTTGCAGAATGCCCTCACCACCATGCTGCCGCACCACGCCGGTCTCAACCCCCGCGCCTTCAGGTAGTCTGGCCCACATGGCAGTCAAACCCTGAGCCCACAGCAGGTGGACTTGGCCCCGTTGCCCGTAGCCAGAGACCCCCACGTTGCCTGCCAGCCTGGCTGATGTGTTCTACCCCCAAGCTGGTTGCATCTCCCTGCTGCAAGGCTCCCCACAAGAGCCTTGAGGCTGGCAGGTAGCAGGAGAGTCAGTGACTTTCCCCGGGGACTGGTGGCAGCAGGTACCACAAGCAGTGCTAGGGGGAGAGGAGTGGAGCCAGCGTGACGGAGATGGGAGCCAGCTGGGATCCAGCCAGCTCTGGGCACTGCCAGGCTGACCCCAGGGAGCAGGCTCAGGGCCCTGACCCTCATCCCCCGTCCACAGGCTACTGCACATGGACCGGCGCATCCTGCAAAACGCTGTGCGCAACATCTTGGACGGGGAACTGCTCAACCGCTACCTCTACCTGAGCACCATGGAGCGTGGCGAGCTGGCCAAGAAGATCGGCACCACGCCTGACATTGTGAGTGCGGCGGGATCCTAGCATCTGAGCCGTGGGGCTGGTAGGGAGGTGTGGGGGTCACATCCAGTCCAGGCCCAGCCTAAGGCAGGATCAGCCCAATCCAAACCAGCCCCTGTGTCTTATCTCGGAGCTGTACAACAGTCGCTCCTGACATTGTCCCTGCCCCTGGGAAAGCCGGGGGGGGTGGCAGCTGCCAACATCCTACTGCTGCCAAGGGGCCCATGGGTGCTGCAGAGAGCCCAGGCCCAAGCCGTGCCCCTGTTGCAGAGGAAGGCAAAACTCCACAGTCTGGACCAGTCTGAGCAGGCAGAAATCCCTTCCCGCCCAGTGCAGCGTGGGGCTGAGTCTGAGCGTAGGGGCAAGATCTTCCAGCCAGGACCCTGCAGGGTTGGTGTCACCAGGAGCACTGGCACAGCCCAGCCCCATCCCCAGCACCTCTGGGGGAGGCTTAAATGCCCCCTGACCCATGGAGCAGGACGGAGCAGAGGGTTTTGACCCTGACCCTGCTTCTCCCCACAGATCCTCGAGGACTTGCTGGAGATTGACCGTGTCACAGCTCACTTCTGATGGACTCTGTGCAGCTGCCCTGAGCCCCCCATGCCCGGGGGGGCAGGCAGACAACACCAGCCCCCAGCCCTGCTCAGATGGACGCTCTTTTCTACAGGGGGGCGCAGTGCCACCCCTTCCCACCTTCACTTTGTACGGACCAGGATTTGTAAAGAAAAGGCAAAACCCCATCCTGGCTGCCTCTGTTCTGGGGTTGGGTCCCTTCTCCCCCCATGTTGCCAATGGCAGGGGCTGGGCTTTAGGTGCTAGGTCTGTCCCTCAAGGGTGCTGGGGGAGCGTGAATCATGGAGGGGGGAAGCCTGGAGCCATTTTCACTCTGGGCAGTGCTTGCTTGGCCCTGGCCCCCCCCCAGTGCTACCATCCCTCCCATGCTCCCTGCAGCCACTCGCAGCCCAGTCCTGGAGAAGTGCTGGCTCTTGCATAGGCACCAGGGAGTTTTATTGGTATCCAAAGTGAGGGGGGCAAAGCTCCCAGCAGCTGCCCTGTCCCCCAGGGTCCTGCCCCAGCTGTCAGTCCACAGCAGAGGCCTGGCTAGGCTTGCAGGTACTGGTAGATCTGCTCGTTCTCGGGGAAGAAGCCCAGGGAGGCGAGGAGGCGCAGGAACGAGGCTGTCAGCTTCATGGACAGCGTCTCCACCCTGGGGAGAGAAGCAGGAGGCAGGGGGAGCAGGCAACCCTCTGCCCCGGCACCCAGCCCTTTCCCCAACTGCTGCCCCTTACCTGAGGGCCACCTCAAACTTGAGGCTCTCCCAAGTCACCCGCAGCCAGCGGAAGAGGGTGCTGCCCCGGATGCCCGAGGACTTCTGCCCCACCAGCCTGCTCCAGCTGCGTACGGCACTGGAGGGACAAAGGGGGTGAGTACAGGCCTGCAGGAGAAGCCTCCAGCATCCTACCTTCTCCCCGTGCCAGGGACTGCGGGGTACTGGCTACAGGCTCTGGGACCAGCCAGCTGGCTCTGGCCCCGAGCCCGGCACCCACCTACCTCTTGGCCATGAGGAAGTAGCGGTCGGCGGGGGCACCCAGGGCCACGTTGATGCTGCGCACGGTGTTGATGTTGCGGAAGACGAGCAGCATGGGCCGCGGCAGGGCCTTGAGCACCCCCATGATGCGGTCGAAGTGGTGCTGAGCCATGGCCTGCATGTAGGCCGTCTCCTCCCGCGTCAGCAGGTTCGATAACGCCAGCTGCCCCGGGTGCAGGGGCCGCTGCAGCAGCAGCTCGCAGAACAGGAAGTAATCTGGGGGGAGCCGGCGGTGGGGGGGTTCAGGGAGCAGGAGCACAGCCAGGGGGGTCGATCCCGGAGCCAGGGGGCTGGTAGGGAGTTGCCGAGTCGCAGCTTGTGCAACCCCCTCCCAGAAGCGGGATCAGCCCTGCTCAAACCATCACAGCCAGGCCCCCCTGCTCCGGTGCCCATTGCACCCAGGCACACCCCCGGGTGCCCACGACACCCCAGGTGTGTGCACTGCACATGAGGACAAGGAGTTGGTTCCTCTGCAGCAGGGGCACAGCCTCGTCCTGGGCGCTGCAGTGCCCATGACCCCCCTGGCAGCAGCAGGATTGTGGTGGCCGTGGCCCCCCTGTATCCTTGGGGCAACGCCAGGGCTGTGTCAAGGGTGTTTGGCCGGGCTGGTTTGGATGGGGTTTTTCTGCCGCAAGCAGGGCTGGGACTGGATGTGACCCTGCAGCTCCCTGCCAGCCCCATGGCTCTGTGATTTCTATGAAAATGCATTCAAGGGAGCCCAAGCTGAGGCTGAGGCTGTGCCCCTGCTGCACAGGCAAGAGTCTGGACCAGTCTGAGCAGGGGGGAAATCCCTTCCTACCCAGTACAGCGCAGGGCTGAGCCTACGCAGGAGCGCAAGACCCTCCAGCCGGGACGCTGCGGGGTTGGTGCTAGCAGGAGCATTAGTACAGCCCAGGCTGCAGCCAGCACCCAAAGCCTCCCCCAGAGGCACCAAAACCCCGACACATGGAGCAACAGGAAGGGGAAATATCCCCACGGGGCAGCCAAGCTCCACCATCCATCTCTATCCCAGCCCGTCACCTTCCCAGTCAAGTCAGGGGTGAGCTCTGCAACGCTCCCCTGCAGCTAAGCCCAGACCTCTCCAGCACCCGCCGGCTCCATCATCTCCCAGGGCTCGGTGTGGAGCTTGGGGGCTTCCCACTCCCTCCGCCACTGCCAGGAGCAGCTGGGGCTGCAACCAGGGAGCCCAGGTCACCTTGAGGACCTGGGAAGAGCAGAGCCAAGCAGGGCAGGGGGAGGCACCGGGGCCCACGGCCAGCAGGGACCGGCCCGGGCCCAGGGCCTGCTGCAGCCACGAAGCAGGGAAGCCCAGCCCAGCCCAGCCCCACTCACCCTTGACGCCGAGCGCAGCCGAGTGCACCTTCATGGCCGCATCGTTGCGCAGGATGATGGCTTGCCACAGCTGGCACAGCGCCGCTCGGTCCCTGCCCGCGAGGGAGCCCACATCAGTGCCCACCGCTCCAGGACCCTCCCGTGACCTCCACCCCCGGGCGGCCCTGCCCGGCAGGCAGCAGAAGCGAAGGCAGCCCCCTTCCCCACGGCCGTACCCCTCACTGAGGAACTCGTAGAGGCCGTGGTCCAGCAGCACCAGCTGCGCCTTCCCGTCCGGGCCCTTTCGCACCAACACTGCAACACAGAGCACTCAAAGCCGCGGCCCCCGCAACCGCCCATGCCCAGCGCGGACCCCCTGCCCGGGGACGTGCCTTGCCAGCTCCCGGTGGTCTCGCTCTGGAGCAGGAAGGACCCCCCCTATGATAAGCCAGCAGCACCAGGCCCAGGCCAAGCCCCGACACCCCCCTACCATTGCCCGGGTGTGGGTCCGCGTGGATGAAGCCCGTGTAGAAGATCTGCTCGGCGAACACCTGGATTAGCTTCTCTGCAGCCTGCAACGGTTGGGGGGGCCGTTGTGAGCCCCGATGCTGCCACTCACCTGTGGGCACCGGGGGGCAGAGTAGGGGCTGCCACCTCCCAGCCCTCCTTTGCCTCAGGACTGGTGCAGACATGGCTGCCTGTGCCCGGGGAGGGGAAGAGGGGGAACAAGGTGATCCCCAGGGTTGGGCCCTTTGGCATCGCTGCAGCTGCCTCTGGAGAGAGGTGGGATGCTGCCCGGGCTGGTCTCAGCCCAGACAGGCATGCAGGGCCCGTGGGAGTTCATGGCATGAGACAGAATCAGGCCTGACGGCACCAGCCCATGCAAATCCATTGCCCAATGTCTTTGGAAAGCTACAGTCGCCCCGGCACGGTCACAGGGCAGAGCCCTATCCCCAGTCTGGGCTGCAGCACCCAGTGCCTCTGGGGAAGGTTCAAAACCCCCTGCCCCAGGGAGATAAAACGGGGGAAGGGGGCGACCAGCACAACCCACAGCAGAGCACGGGCATCGCTGCACCCGGATCATCCCCCACCAGTGGCTGCCCGCCCTCTCCTCGACACCACCAGCAATGAAGAGAGTCCCCCGCTTCCCCAGTGTCTCCCACTCCCTCCCTGAAGGGTTTCCTGATCTCCAACCTGAACCTGCTTGGCTGCGACTCGCAGGCCCAGCTCCGCACGCTGCTCTGCCCTGCCCTGCCCTGCCCGGGGGTTTGCAGAGGGGCTTTTCCCACCAGGGCCTGCGGGCAGGCGCTGGGCACGGGCTGCTCCCGCAATCACGACCCACTGACATCCCCGGCGCGGCACGACTGCGACCGGGTCGGCCAGGCTCCCCGCACCCCCAGATCCGGCGCCGCACTCACGTCCTTGAGCTGCAGGCCCTGGCTCCGGATGCCCTCCACGCTGTTGATCTTGCAGCCCTCGCAGAAATCGGCCGTCAGCACCCGCTGTGGGGAGGCACAGGGTCGGTGGGCGGGCTGCCCCTTTCCCTCGGGGTGGGGGCCTTGAGTAGCCACCGCAGAGCAAGGGCAGGGGCTGGGCCCCCACGTGGGTGCAGGGGCAGACACACACAGCCCTGGCCCCGCACCTTGCTGCACCTGTCCCAGTGCACCTTGGGCACGACGATGTAGGGGAAGCGCCGCAGGTCCCGGGCACAGCGCTCCGCGTTGCGGCCCTCGTTCTCGAAGTCCAGCTCCTGCGCCAGCGTCCCCTTCAGGTCCTGGGGTGGGGAGGGGGGTCAGGCCGTGGGAAGCACCCAGCCCGACGGAGGGAGCCGGAGACCCCGGCTGCTGCCCCCGGTACCTTGAGGACCCAGCTGAAGCCGAAGGAGGGGTGCATGAACTCCACGATGCTCTGGAGCAGCTCCAGCGTCTGGATGTCGCTGTCGAACCGATCCTGCAGGTCGATGTACTGCACCTGGGGGGGAGCGCCGAGGCTGAGCGCCCGGCCCCAGCGCCCCCAGCCCACGCCGC